ATATATAATATATTTGATATTTTCAATTAATTAAACAATTTTGAATCGAATTAATCGATAATCAAAGTTGGAAAAAATCATTAAGTTAGAAAAAATCATTAACCGGTAATCAAAGTTTAAAAATTGACTAATCAATGAACCAAAAAAACAATTTAAATCGATCTATTAATTTGGTTAAAACTAAGTTTGAATAATGTACTAAATTTTAATTCTAACGTTGACCAAATTAGAAGAAATGTACAAAGTCTTATGTTTTCTTTTTGACCAGACAAAGTCCATGCGGGTTGATTCAGGAAAGTCAGATTAATATACGGCGTTACCGAAAACATAATAAGATACTTAATAAAATCAGTTTAGCGTTATCGGAAATATTGAGTAATAATAATGTTGTAGGTGGAAATCATGAAAAAATATTAAAAAAGTTGACAACCGACAAATTTAGCTTGTCGGTACGTATCGATACCATTCAAATATGTATCGATACATAACAATATATCAGGTAAAAATATGACATAACCGGTAAGGCGCTGCCGAATATGTTGAATGTATCGATACCATTAAAATAAGTATCGATACTTTTGAAATTTAAAAGGAAAGCAATAATAGCGCCTATAAAGTATCGATACTTTATAAACATGTATCGATACATAACATTATATCAGATTAAAATATGACAAAACCAGTAAAGAGCTACTAGATATGTTGAAGGTATTGATACCATTCAAATAAGTATCGATACATTTAGAATTTAAAAGAAAAGCAATAATAGCGCCTATAAAGTATTGATACATTATAAAAATGTATCGATACATAACAATATAACATGTAAAATATGACAAAACTGGTAAAGCACTACTGGATATGTTGAAGGTATCGATACCATTCAAATAAGTACGGATACTTTTGGAATTTAAAAGAAAAGCAGTAATAGCGCCTATAAAATATCAATACTTTATAAACATGTATCGATACTTTATAAACATGTATCGATATATAACAATATATTAAGTAAAAATATGACAAAACCGGTTTCATTATGACAAAACCGGTAAAGCGCTACCGGATATGTTGAAGCTACTGAACATAAAAGTATCGAGACTTGGGTAATTGTATCGATTAAATTTAAATAATATATCTGGTTAAAATATCAAAGGCATAGTTAAATTTCCTCTGAAAATAGATAGAACACGACCGTAGTTTTCGAAATCAAAGCGTAATTGCTGTTGCATTTCAGAATACGTTTTTAAAGCGAAGTTTGTTTGTTTGCTGTTGTAGTCGAATCGAAAAGTACGTTGTTGAAACCCTAGTTTTTTATTGTTATAGTAATTAGAAATATGGGTTTTATGTGTTTGGGGTTTTTGAAGTAAAAAAGTATTTGAGACCGATTACAGGTAGAAAGTAATATTCTAGGCATATGATAAATATCGATATTTTTATAAAATATTATAGATAGAAAATGATATTGTAGGTTATACAAATGTACTGATACTTGTAGTATAGAGTATTCTTATTCGTTTGAAAGAAATAGGGATTAGGTTTTTGGGTTTAGTTTGAGGATTTCGAAGCCAAGAAGGATTTGAGACCGATTATATAATATTATAGGTAGAAAATAAATACCGATACATGTATATAATATTATAGGTAGAAAATTATATTGTAGGTTGTATAAATGTATCAATACTTGTAGTAGTGGTCATTTAAATTCTTTTGAAGGAAACCGTTTTACTACAAGATTAGTTATCAATATTTGTATATTTAATAAAGTGTATGTAATCAGTATTTGATTTTGATTTTGATTTGCGTAAACTGATATATGAAGAAAAAATGAAGTCAACGGATCTTGCAAATTGTTCTTGACGAATATGACTTTGAAATTGAGTCCGAGAGTATGAACAATGAAGTAAATCGAAAGAAACCAAAGGGTGGATATATGTACTTCTAATAAGTATCAATATATTTTTGTTATTATTGTTGAAATGGTAATTGGATTAAAGTATTTAAAAACTTTAAATTGATTTCAAATTTTAAATGTTGACAGTATGACCGAATGCCAAAGGATGAACGAAGCTGGTAATCACATCGGTTCGATACGTAAAATGAAATTGACATTGAGTATTATTTAGCGTTAATGTATTGATTAAAAACGTTTATGTTTGATTTTAGGTGAAAAATAATGTGTTGGAGAAATGGAAGTCGATGACTGATACTGATAAGGAACCTTACGTGACACGGTCAAAGATGGATAGACAAGAATACAAAGCTTTGAGGAAAGCACATGAAAAATAAAATATTCATTAAACTTGTAAATACTTTGATAAAAGATATATAAGAACAGTAACATTATATATTTTTAAAAATGTAGGAGGTGTCGACAAAGTGCAGCATAAAAAGAGTGAACTCATTAATTGAACACCTTAAGGAGAAGAATAAAGTTAATGTGCTGGAAGAATTGGGGTTTGGATCTTTGATCAGAGTAAGGGATCGATCAATTCGGAGGGAATTATGTCGATCCTTAGTAGAGCAATTCGATGTTGAACATATGGACCCTGAAGGGGCTTTATTGGCTATGCAGTCAACATGGTTAACCTGGATAATCCCAACTACAGAATTGATTCCTGCCACGATTTGCGAGAAACTCTATTTTACAGATTGTTTGGCAATAGGGATGGCAAACAGGTATAATTTCGTGGATTTCGCACAGCACCCGCTCCACTTGGGGCGGGGATGGGTATTATTTTAGTGGGTAGTGGGCGGGTATGGATTTAGAAAGTGGTACCCGTCGCGGGTAGTGGGCAGGTAATGGGCTTGAGACCTTATCCGCCCCGCATCCGCCCGCCCCGTATCCGCCCGCCCCACATCTACCCGCCCAGTTAAATATCCATTAAATTTTGGACCATTATGAATTTAGGTGTAATCTTAGAGACTAATTTATAAATCCTAATATTGTATACCATATAACTTGTAATTTAACCAAATATTAGGGATAAGTTTATGAATAAATTTTTTTCTTTCAAACCTCTCGTTACTGCGCCGATCTTTCAAACTTCTGGTCTCTACTCTCGAGCTTATTCAGGTACATTTCTTCCCTTTTTACTTGAAATTTAATTTTTGTAAGAGTCATTTCCATAGTCATTTAATTTTAAGCTCCTCTGCATTTCATTTTAAGAATTTAATTTTTATTTGCTCGTATTGATTTTTAATTATTTTTTAGATTCATCTCAATGTTTATTTTAAGCTTAATTTCTTAATGTTATGGAAATCAGTATCTTGTCACACTAAGCACCCACGTTTTAGGCCAACAAAGTCAGTTTGTTGCTTCTCAAACCTCCATTTTTAACGCCACTGAATAGAATTAAGTGTTTCACTCGTGCTTTCTCTAGTACTCTGTTTGGCTACGGGGGAAAGTTGCGGAGGTTAAATATGCTAACTTTGAAACTGACTTTTTCAAATTCAAATATCAACCGAGTATTTTACAATTTTCTAATTTTTCGAAGTGCTAAAAGTATTTTAAATTAAAAATTGCTCGTAACTTCCGTTCTTTAATTACTGAGTTTCCTGGTCTTTACGTTTGATGAATTTTATTTTATTTATTTCTAAAATTTTCAAATTTATGAAGCTAAGGTTACATCTTACATTTTCCTAAAACATAAAGTTTGGAAACTAATCTTCTTTTGTACTTAACAATTTTTCATATGTTCAGAGATTTAATGTCTTCCTTGTGCTTTATAATTTTCTTCTGTTCTTGTCCCCGAAATTAAATTTATGTTCTCCTTTCTGGAGAGCTGCTATTTTAGGAGGTCTTAAATCATCTTAGTTTGCTTCGACAAAACTTAACTGTTCTCAGCTTTTGTTTTGGTTAAATTCGATGATATTTTCTCATATTATAGGGAAATATAAATTTATAATGTCCTTGAATCATATGCGTATAATTCAATTGCCCTTTCATGTTTTACTAAAAAACATAGTGTTTGCCATTTATGTTTCTAGTATTTTATTATGGTGTTTTATTAGAATGATGATTGTAATACTGGAGTATCAGATGTCACAAGTATTGCCTGAAATTTTAGAATGTTGTGCCAAAGAACAAAAACATTATGTGTTTGTCATTTATGTTTCTAGACTTTAATTATGTCTTTTATTATGGTGTGTTATGTATTTTAATATCTATATTAACACTTAACTCAGATAATCCTTCGTTTATTTTATTATGTTTCTTAATGGACGTGTTTGTTTTATGTGTGTTGCTTATGTATAACTTAAGTATGCTATTAGGTGGGTCTAGCCGGGTACGTCTCCAGTGGGTAGTAGGTGTGAGGATGGATTTGAGAATGTACCCGTGTGGACGGGTGTGGATTTGAAAATTTTTACCCATCATGGGTGGTTGATTGAAAAATATTAAGTGGGTATGGGGATGGGGGAGGGGGTATCCGCACCTGACCCGCCCGTTTGCCATCCCTATTTGGCAAGGTTCAAGTACATAATACAAGGGAACATATGGAAAGATCCAAGTATCGGTTAAAAGTAAGCAATTAGTGCATTGACACCCCATTTGACAATTTCATTTGCTTTGCATTTTTCAAGTGTACATATAAATAGCTTTGTATAAGTAATAGTTAAATTTATAAGCTACACGGTAAAATTATACCAGTATAATGATAATATCATAAACTTTTATATATGTATCAATACTTTATTATATCGGTCTCAATACTTTAATTCCACATGAAATCTCAAACAATCTGCACACAAAATATATATATATATATATATTATAATTTTAAAACCTATTACTTAAAAGTAATAGGTTAATTAACAATGAAAATGATTAAAGTTAATCGGTATTATGAAAATATAAATAAATAATGTATAAAATAATATATTGATAAAATTTACTACCAAATCAAGTAATTAACCGATTATGTTACTGTCGGTTCTAAAGCTACATAATTTTAACTTTAGTTAATTCCACTTAAAGTCTCAAACAATCTGCACGTTAAATAGCTTCCCCTGCAAATTCTAAAATCTTTCCCTAATTTTCCTTGAGCTTGTCAAAGGTGAAGAAAAATGGAGAATTCGACTCAAGAATCCCACCTGAGATCCGATAACTCCGTAACCTACGAATCACCCTACACGGTTTACGCCATGGCCGTATCTTCAACCCCCTCCCCGACGAATCTCAACCATCAATCCATCGCTCTCGGCAGTTTCCTCGAAGACTACAATAACAGAGTTGACATAATCGCCTTTGATCCAGACACGCTTTCCGTCAAAACCCACCCGACCCTTTCCTTCTACCACCCTTATCCACCCACAAAGCTCATGTTCCAACCCAATCGTAAATCCTCCTCCTCTTCTTCCGATCTCCTCGCTTCCTCCGGCGAATACCTTCGTCTCTGGGAAGTTCGTGAATCTTCCATTGAACCTCTCTCTGTTCTCAACAACAGCAAGACCAGCGAGTTTTGTGCCCCGTTAACTTCCTTCGATTGGAACGATGTTGAACCCAAGAGAATCGGGACCTCCAGCATCGACACTACATGCACGATTTGGGACATCGAGAAGGGCGTCGTCGAGACCCAATTGATCGCTCATGATAAAGAGGTTTACGACATTGCATGGGGTGAAGCTAGAGTTTTTGCGTCCGTTTCCGCTGATGGGTCTGTCAGGATTTTCGATTTGAGGGACAAAGAACATTCCACGATTATTTATGAAAGTCCTCAACCCGACACCCCTTTATTAAGGTTGGCTTGGAACAAGCAAGATTTGAAGTATATGGCTACTATTCAAATGGATAGCAACAAAGTTGTGATTTTGGATATAAGGTCACCCACGATGCCGGTGGCTGAGTTGGAGCGCCATCAAGCCAGTGTCAATGCGATCACCTGGGCTCCTCAGAGTTCTAAGCATATTTGTTCTGCTGGGGATGATACACAGGCTTTTATTTGGGAGTTGCCTACGGTGGCTGGACCTAATGGTATCGACCCTTTGTGTGTGTACTCTGCTGGCTCAGAAATCAATCAGTTGCAGTGGTCTGCTGCTCAACCGGATTGGATTGCCATTGCTTTTTCTAACAAAATGCAGCTTCTCAAAGTTTGAGGTTTGGGACCATATTTTCCTGCTTGAAAGTATTAAAGTCTGATAGTTCGCTTCATAGAATGCTAAAGCTTGTATTCCTCTTTGAGTTAATTTGTGGAATTTGTTATATTTAAGCCTGTCATTTCTGTTATTACTTTGCTCCTTTAATGAAGTAAAAGTTCCTCCAACAATCTTTGGTGAAATTCCTTTAGTTAGTTCTTCATCAAATAGTGAATAATACCTGCAAAAAATTTTAAGTTTGGTATATTTGATGCTTGATATGCTTTATTCAATACAGCTGGAAAAAAACTTCCCCTTTTAGATAACTTGAATTTGATTTAGTTTGAGAAAAGAATTTTACTAAGCGTCAAGGTCATCAAATTGTGTTTAATTTCATGTTAAGGAATTCAACTTAATATTTTGTGGCCGAGAAAGAATCGATGGTAAGTGTGAAATCCATCTTGTTGAAACTTATAAGTTAATCAGAATCAAACAATTTTATCTGGTTTGAAAGGCAGGTCATCTCACTTTGCATCTTAGGACTGTCTTTGTTGTTACATGATAGCCATTAACTAAGCCAATCATGTAACAATTACTTTGAGGATGAAATAATAGTTTTCTTAATCCAGATCAAAAGGGAAAATCTTAAGTTTTCTAGGTAATTGGCTAATTGCTGCTTCAAAGCAGAAAGCTTTCCTCTGGAATGTTGATAAGAAACATTGTGGTGGCCCATGCTTCTAAAATCTAAATCAATGATGTGCTTTGAGAGAGGAACACTCCAAGGGTTGAGTTCTAACGGTCAATATGTATGGTTTGCTGCTTTTACCTTTGGTTATGTATGTCAGCAATTTGAGTTATTTTTAATTGCTTTAATGAGCTAGGTAATTGACCAACAGAATGCCTTGTGTTAAAATTATTTATTAGATGGTTTGTGTAGAATGTGAGCATGCATTGTTTAAATGCTTATGGAATAATGAAGACATGCAAAAGGGACATGTTTTTGTATTTTCTACTTTATTGGACAGCAAATTTGATTCAATGTGAAGCTCCCTTCAGGTCTAGGTGAGGATGGTTTACTGTTTCTGATTGATGCACTTTGATTCAATGTGAAGATCCCTTCTGAGGTTGGTTTACTCATTCTGTCCGATGCATTTAGCTTGGTTGACCGTGAGTTATATGCTTTGATATTTGTTTATTGAAGCACTCTTTGGTTGTATATCTCCATGGAAGTCACTTGAATGAAGTATCATGAAGACCTGCTACAGATCCTATATATAAAAATGGAACTCTCGAGTAGCTTAGGTTCGCATCAGTTGCTGATTGAACAGTAGTATTCTGTGGTATTTGTTGTAATAGCATGAATGAGTACTTGAAGGTTCATATTGGATGATCAATGCATGTTCAAAACAAAGTTGTATTAATAGAAAGCTCTGATCTTAGGCGTGGTTCCATAAAGTATTTACGCAAAGAAAAGCTTATTTATTATATTACTCATGAGTGTTGAAATAGTTTCTTATAACATAAAAGAATTAGTACAAACCTATACATCAAACTAGAAAACGAGTAAAAACTTGAGAAATAATACCTATCCAAAACAATCAATATATATTCCTTCTATTTGATCAAATTAATTCAAGCGGATGGCTAAAAATTATCAAGTGAATTTATTGTCAATTCATTATTCATTACTAAATATGAAGAAGAAAAATAATAATAAAACGAAAAATGGTATAAGAATTAAAATGACTAATTTAAAAGAAAATGAGGACAAAAAATGTCATTAAAAAAATAATGTATGATATGAGTATGGGGCCTGGCCTTATTGCAGTCAAAGCGGTGTTAGTATTTCTCGTGTCTGCAACGAACAATCAAAGTAATAACATATTCATTTTCCTCTTTTACAATGTAGACTTTTACATGATCCGTTGATTTGTCGAGGCAAACACTGGCATGCGGAGGCAGACTTTTGAAAAGAATAATAAAATTCAAAGGCCATTAATGGTGTGATAGAGACCCTCTAACAAAAACAAACTCTCCTTAAACAGTAATGTGTTGTTCAGAGGAGCTATGAGATTACACATATTAGTATTTACACCAAGTCTGTTGAAAGAACAAACCAACCAATAAAGAAGGATTCGGGGTTCTACTATAAAATATCAAAACATTAGTTTCCTTTAAGTACATACTAACCTGTGTCATTAACTACTATCATACAAAAAGCATTGCTTATGTGCTAAACCATCTATATAATTTGAGTCCGTGCTCTCCTCGGTTTACAGGGTTGTAACTATTCCTATCTATCAGATGAATTGCCATGATGACGCTCAGCTTCTGTATGCGTAGGATTAGCCTGCACTTGACGGACAAACTGACCTTTTACTCGTGGACGCTGCTCCGCAAGTTTCTTTCTGCTCTCATATCGGACCTGCCAAAAGAATTGAGCATGAAACGTTAGCTGGTTGCTCAAACCATGCAAGTGTAATCCGCACATGGTTCTACATGTTACATCGCAACTGGAAACTAGCACTAGAATGTAACATCAGTATCTTGTTAATGGATCTCAGAATATTTTTTTCTTCTATGCAAAGTATTGAACAGGAAAAATGTAAGCACATAATGATGGCAACTGAATCATTTTACCTTTTTCTCATAGCATCTATCCTTTCGCTTCAAGCGGAACTTCATGAGAGCTGCTTCTCTTTGGATAGAACGGCATGAATTTCCACTAGGGCTAGGAAAACTTTCATCGTTCTTGCTCTCTGTAGAAGCTCGGCCGATTGCAACCTGATCAACATTGCCATTACTTGCACCAGTGCTTCCATATGCAATACCATTAAGTTGACTTAAAGAGCCATTACAGAAACTGCTAGTTGCACTCTGATCAGTGTTGGGAGACATATGCCCTCTATCCTCAATTGAATCCAGCTTGTGCAAGGGTTGGTTGGTTGACTGATTTGTATTGGAAGCAAGTCGGTCATACAACTGTCCAGAGGAGTTGGCTTCAAAACTGGAATGACGAAACAGATTCACACAAAATGCAGGTTCCTGCTGGTTGGCTGAGCTTGGACTTTGCATGGATGAACTTGATCGTGCACAATAGATTGGAGGAGTAATTGAGTTATAACCATTGCACGGATTATTCAATCTTATACCCTTCACTGGTACTGGGACAGGGAATACTCTCTGTTGTGTGCATGCTGCTGCTGCTGCTTCAGTTTGCTTCAATTCAGCAGTAGCTCCAGTAGTAAAAGGAATCATACTTCTTTGAGAAGTTAGCGTAGGACTAGGAGTATCAGAGTTGTATTCGGAAATAACGTTGGTCAACATCTTCTCAGAATTAGTTTCAGAGTCTTTCTTCTGATCACCGAAACTCATCAATGTTGAATGCAGGGGCTGTGATACTCTGCTAGCGTACCTGCATTAAAGATAATTGGTATGATCAGCAATAAAAATGCAAGTATCAAATATAACAAAAAAGCAAAACCTGATTCAATCCATTTCTTCTAAAACGTTTTTTGTGCAAAATTCTGAAGGTGATGATAACAAATATAACATAAACCAACCTCATGAAGGCTGATGCATTAGGATGCCAGAAGGTAGGCCTTTCTTGAGTAACATTCTCAGATACATGAGGATTACTTCTTCTCAAGGAAAGATCCAAGTATGGAGAAGAATCAAAATTTCTAGCGCTATTTATTGAAGAATTCCAATTTTTATTAAATGTTCCCATGAAGTCAATGGCTTCTCTTGGTGAACCAACAAGCACATCACCAGCCTCAGCCAAGATATTAGTATCCCTTCTTTGATTTTCCAGTTCAACATCCTTGTGCACAGTTGTTGTGTAGGCATCCTTGCAGGAATCAGCATCTTCTCATAAATTCAATGGCACATTGAAAGAACGTTAGATGCTTTCATATTGAACAGAATGCAAAAATTCAAAATTTAGTCTTACCTGCATTTTCCATCTGATGCATGAGCAGGTTCTGATTGAAACTGGCATGAGCTTCATGCTCCTGCAATTCAATTGGTGGTGATTTTCCCTTCATCAAGTGTGAGAATTCTTGCATATTTTCCTTGTGGGTACTCTCAGCCTCCATATCTGGCTTCGTACAAGAGCTCTGCTAGACAGCAAACATGCAGTCTATATTAAACTTCATGTAGTCAACTTAAAACAGGAAGAGAACTCATTTTGATCATGAGCATTAGTAATTCCCAATAAACATAACCAGTCGACACAAAGAAATGGTCGCCAATCCATAAAAAGTATGCGAGTGTAGGGCAAGCAAATCTTCTATATAGTAAATGCATAGATCAATCACAAAACAAATATGACAGACGAAGAGTACTGACCTGGGCATCACTCCCTTTCTCAGTTTGTTCCTTATTTGTTTGGACACCAGCCAAGCAACCAATGGAATGATTACATGCAGCATCATTTTCAGAGCTAGCTTCAACCTTTTTCTGTCCAACACTCTCATCCAGGGAGGGATTCCCACCAACTACTGACTGATTTGAAAAACAGATATATATCAGGATTTGGAAAAATGTAAACCATATTTTCAAAAGAACTGTAAAATAGAGATCGAAATGAAGTGAAAGAAGTTAGCATACTGATCGTCTTCTCCATACATGCTGCCATAAATTTCTCAGCTCATTTCTCCTTATCGGTTTAACAAGGTAGTCAGCAGCCCCTCTCAACATGCATTTGTATACTGTGCTAACTGAATCTTGTGAGGACATCACTGCACAATCATGCCCAAAGAAAAAGAGCAGTTATTTAAATTGCTTTTTTGTAGACGCCAAGTAGAAAATCATTGCAACTGTAGAAATGTATCGAAAATATTATAGAATCTTTCATATCATACTTATAACAGGGATGTTTTTACAAACATCATGCTCCATGATTAGTGTAAGAAGAGCGAATCCTGATATAGATGGTAAATCCACTTCTGTCAAAATGAGATCTACACTATGAGGCCTTCCTTTCAGCATCTCCCATGCTTTCAAGCCATCAGAAACAGCAGCAACTGATCAAAAGAAAGGTGAAAAAGAAAACTATTTTCAGCCCTAACTGTCGCATGTTAAAATTGTAAACAACTACTTATTTAAAGCAAGAACCAACATGCAATTTTGCGGCCCAAGGAAAAAAAAAACTTGAACCACAATCTACAACTATGTTAATCATAAACTGTTATAAAGTTTGGAATAATTTCGATCTTGTATATGTTGTAGATATCATCAAATGGAATAAATTCAATCTTCATACAAAACAAGTTTGGGCGGACACCTTCGCATGTGTGCTGAAAGCCTTGAAATAACCCAAAAAGGATAAAAGTAACGCAAATTGATTTCCACACTCACAGATTTACTAGATAAGCAAAACATATTACATTGAGGCATAATACCCCTAATGAACTATCAACTATATAAGATCTCTCCCTATCCTTGGCCCTAATTACTTGGGGGTTAATTAACTAAAGCAGCCACTCTGTACAGCATCCAATCTAAAACCCATTTTAAGATTCAATTGATGTGGGATAATACCACTTTAACACACTCAATCTACCAAGCTCCATGAGCCTTCAATCCCCTGTTTACAGACTCTGAACCAGCGAATTGCCTCTTGGCATATCTAAATATTTACAAAACTATGATAGTTTTAGTTATCTAGACCCACATGGCAGGCTTTGAAGAATCCAAGCATCATGTAAGCACCCTAGAGCATTGTTCTGATTTGCCTGCTTTCATTATTTGGCGATAATTATATTTACCCAATCTTGGAAAGCAATTTAAGCAGGTGGATCCTGTCTCCAAAGGAAATTTTACTAACAATTAACAAAATCTACAAGATTTTTCTCATGAACACACACACAGAGACAAGGGCATGTTATTTAATTTAAGTTACTTGAGCTAAGGAAGTCTCAGCTCTTAGAAACATGTAATTAAGACGAGAGAAGGTAAGCTGAAGCAACTGAAAACATGGGGGGGGGGGGAAGATTTAGCTGGAATTCCGTATATTGAAATCTAAAAGCAGCAGCCCTGATGAATCAAACAAAATCAAAACTTCTGCAAAGTAACCATCAAAGCTGAAGCAACTCGAAGCATAAAATTGATTCAAACCGAACGATCTCAGGAGTTTAAAAGAGAATTCCAGAAAACAGTTGTAATTGGGGGAATCAACAAAAAAGGAAACTAACCTCTATAACTGCATTTTCTGAGAAGAGCAAAGATAATCTGCCTGGTTGAATCATCAGCTTCGACCAACAAAACCCTCAAAGCCGGCATGGGTAAAAACCTTCCCCAATTTACCACTGCCCCAGAAGCAGAACTCCCACGCTTCTCTCCCTCCTTCTCCGACTCCAAATTCCCATCCAACTCCTCATTTTCCTTCTCCGTCTCACTCCCAATTCTAACTTCCTCGCTACTCACCACAACGTCACCCATATTTACCTTCGCTAGCAATTTAGAAATGCAAAATCTATGAACATCTTATGCTAAAAATCTATATAGGAAAAGAAAATATCTAAAACCAGACCCTTTGATCGGACGGCAATTAAAAGGCAAGTGGCTGAGCTCTTAATCAAAAGGGCGAAAAATATCTGACCTTGCAAATCAAAGAAAATATCTAGAAGCGTGGCCTACGGAAGCCATGTCAGCAGGTTTACCGATCTGTTGGATTTTGGGGCTGTCGTTTAATTCTACGCTACGCCCGAACAAATATTATTCAAAGGCCAAGGCATTTGGATATTTTTGTGTGTGGGACCCAATGACTAAAAAATCTATTAGCTGCAAAATCAAGATATTTTTTATGCTCTAACTGTGGATTTATGTTACTGGACAGAAACCCGACACGTGGGGCATTCCAAACTGATCGCTTTTGGTTCTTGTTTTTTCTGTAAGTTAGTGTATAGGCAGCAATCCTCTTCTGAGGCATGTGCAGCGACGTGCTTGGTCCTAACTTTAAAAAATTTAAGAGGTTTAAATTAAAACTTTTAGAATCTTTGAAGAGTTTAATTTATACTTTTGAAATTATAAATTTAGGGTCTAATTAAAATTTTAATAAATTTAATTAAATTTTCTAAAAATTGTGAGAGATGTTTAATTAAGAACATTAATTTTTTTAAATTTAATCTGAAATTTTAAAATTATTGAGGATGTTAAATTATTTAAAAAATTAAAGGATCTAAATTATATTTTTTAAAATTTTAGAGGTTTCATGGCTGTTACTAATTTCTCTTGTGTTCCGCTACTGGACAAGTGGTTCGTACTCTCTTTTTCTATTCAATGAATGGGAATGGCGAGTGGCTCTGCTTTATACCCATTGGCCACGTGGGCTTCGTTTGTAATACGTTTGGCTTTCCAATACTAGTCCTGCGAGTGTGGTAAGCCTAATATTTTTGGGTAAACAACAATCCGGGTCACTTAATTATGGAATTGTTAACAAATAGGTCCATTTTCTTCTAAAAGTTACAAACTGTTCATTTTATTAAAATATTATTATTACAAGCAAGTAATTACCATTACTTAATAAAAAAAATCACAGGTCAATAAAAATTAGACAAGAATAGTGGTGTGGCCTGGTATTATAATAGATTTAGTCCTCCAAACTCATATTTATCAATTTGATTTTAATTTGAAACAATTCAATAAATTTACCCATTCAATCATTCATATTTAAACTTGTTTATCATTTTGTTCTCTGTTCTTCTCCCAAAAATGTTATATTACTTTCCTAATATAAAACGATTTATTGTTGCTTTATGGCAGAACACAATTATCCAACTATTATTTTGATTCAATGGCCTTGTTTGCTTTGACAGTATTGTAAAAAATCTTGAATTGATGAAATTTTTATATATGAATTGTTAAATTTATTAAACTTTTTTGAATTAAGATAAAATCAATAGAACATGTAAGTTTAGGGACTAAAAATATTAATATATTGGGTCGCATTAGGCGTTAGTTTCATTTTTAATAACAAATTGATATGTTTGTAATAATATTTTAACTAAATGATTTTTTTATAATAATATTATAACCGAGTGATCTATTTTACAATTTTAGAAAAGAAATTACGTATTTATTACTAAACTTATAATTAAGTGACCTACAGATGTAATTACCGTTTTGCTCAAGTGGCTGTCATTGTTAGTTGGAATAAAATCACGTTTATTCACATTCCCTTATTTTTATTGGTTTTAGATATATTTTAAATTATTGTCGGTATTTTCTGGAGGATGAGAAATTTCAGGAAATAAGAGAAGATCTTCACCATTGAATGTGATGAAGCATATTCCATTTCCATCTATTTTTGCTTAATGCCCATAACTTATCTCCTAAAGTTTTTTCCTTCCGGTCTTCAAGACTTTGTCCTAACTAATTCGGACCCGACCCCTTTTACATACTTAGTTTTGGTGAATGAGTTTCTTAATGGGAATTTTCTGTATATAAAGGATTCAAACTCGAAACTTGTTTAAACGATATCAAACTACTTACCACTTGAACTAACCATATTAATTATCTCCTAAAGTTTTAAAACTTTTCCATAAAATTAAATTTTTTATTAGATATATATAAATTGATCCCTCTAATTGTACCTAAAAATTTTTATTTGAATATACAACAACAACAAAACCCAATTCCCATATGTATGAGGTAAGGGGAGGTAGGGTAGTAGGTTGCCCCCAACGCCAGGTTGAGAGTAGCTTCCGTGGAAGACCTCCGGCAGTCAGAAAATTAAAAATATAGATAAAATTCAATGCATATATAAATAAATACATAAATATATAGTTAAACAGTATTCATATGCAGTCATTAAAATCATATGTGCGTCTGTAACGAGAATTAATCCATGCATAATATAATTAAAATATTATAGATAAAATAAATTTTTTTATACAAAAATATGATTAAATGAATCTTTATTAAATGCATTTTTATTTAAAAAATTATAGATAAAACGAGTCATCATTTTAAAATAATATAATTAAAATTTGTTAATTTTTTTAATATTTAAAGATTTATACGACCGTAATTTATCAAATAAAAATTTATTTGATTCATGATTAGAATCAGCGACTAATTTTATTTATTTTTTTTGAACGACTCGTTTTCTTATTTTAATTAAACAATTTTATAAGATATATAAATATCAATCTTACTTCAATCATAATTATCAGACCAACAAAACAATACAATTTCTTATTTAATTTTGGTATATTTTTACTTTATTTTAAAAAAATGGGATGGACACGAGACCGAATTCGAAAGGTTCAAATAGGATCGTTTTTTTTAAATTAAGTTTGAGTCGGCTCGAATTTAGGTTTAGAGTATAAAATATCCGACCCATCCCGACTCAACCCAAAAAATAATATAATTATATCTTATATATTTAGAGATAATTGCAATAATACTCCTCTTTATATTATTATTTTTAATTAAGTCTCTATTTTATTGAATAAAATTAATAATTTTATATTATTTCAAGTCGAGTTGAGTCAAACTCGGATTGGGTGAAGTTACCCTAAACTTGGGGTGGGTTGGGTTTCAGGTGGAGGATATAAAATTTTCGGATCAATCAGAAACTCGACCCAATCCGACCTATGTCCATCCTTACCTAAAGTGTATTTATTAATTGAATTAAAGAATTTGATATATTAATAAATTCATATGAATTAGTAGCTGGTGTAATTAGAGAGTAGAGTAGATCATATCTCCATCTCCACTCTAACTGAAATAATTTAACTTAGCAGCCAAGACAAGACGAAAACAATTTTATTACAATACACATACATTATTCATTGATTAGTAGAGATGAGGGCAAACTTCAAATAATAAATAATATGAGGACAAGATTTAGCTTTCGCCGATCCATTTGAATTTCCAAGCGAGCACAAACCAATACATCTTATAAATTTGATGTAAACTCAATTATTCGAATCAATTTATTTTATATAAAATTTAATATAGATCCAAATATAATAACCTAAATTTGATACAAAATCAGAATAAATTGAACTGAATCGAAAATGGCTCAAATTTTAGTTGGGTCGATATGAATATGAATTGAAAGTAACTAGAAATGAAAGTAACCCAAACCGTAAATAAACTAAACCAAAAACAATCAAAATTTAATTTATCCAAATATGATCTGAACCAAATAACGACCCAATTTTAATATGATAATTGAGTTAAAGTGAATGAAAAATTTATTTTTATTGTTATTTATCTTTCAATAATGGATAAATAATAAAATAATAAGATAAAATCTAATATATATATATATATATATATATATATAGTAATTATTTATTTAGTTTGGACTTTGTTTAAGTATTTTTATTCATGAAATATCTAAATTTTAAATTCAATACCTAATTAAATATGTACAAATCAAATAAATCTAAATTAATTTTAATAAATAATTAATTATGATAAAATTATTTTTTTCATTAAATAATTTTAGTATAATATATTCTAATTCCGTAAAATCATAATAACTTTATCGTCTTAGAATTTATGTACAACTTTATTTAATTTTCTATTTAATTTTTCATTTTTATTAATTTAATATCAATTTTAAATTTCGTTTATTAATGATAAAAAATATTAAATTAATCTCTAAGTCATTTAAATAATAACTATTAATTTAATATTTCATTTTATATTCTATTAAATAATGATATAAATTATGAAATTGGTTTACAAACCATCTAAACTAAATCATGATTTATTAGTTTAATATTTTAATTTAGAACCAATTAAATAATTTTTCAAAACTATTAAATTAATTTTCAAATCATTTTAATTTCTCCGGATATATAATTACTTAAATTCAACTTATTTTTATAATATAAAAATGTTTATTTTTATTTATAATTAAAATATATCAATGATAAAACTATTTAAAATAATATTCATTCAAATATATTTATAATAATTTCAAAACATATATATTTATGATAATATAATTTTCTAAAATTGAAACAAACTTTTATATTTATCATTAAGCATTAAACATCTAATTTAAAATTTTAATTAATAACAAAATTTAAAATTTTATCTCTCATTAGGTCGCATCATAAATTTTTCGGGATAGATCAATAAGAAAAATGTTATAAACTCTAACATGTCTTATAAGTCAAGTTCAGGTTAAATTATCGTCTCTGAATGATGATTGAATTGGAATAAAAGTAAACATAAATGATAAGATTGGCAAAAAAAAATATACATTCTTTTACGATGATATATCAATAATTCTGTATATATTTGATTCGACTCATACTCAACTCAACCTGAATTAACCCAATGATTTAAGGTTGACCCGTACTGAAAATGACTGATCTGACTTGACCTAAAATTAATCGACCTGATATTGAATTGACTTTAAAATTAACCGATCTGATATTGACTCGCTCAATCAATATGATATTAACTCGCTCAATCAATATGATATTAACCTAACCCGATACTCAA